CTTTCCTTTCCTCTAAATGTTTCATAATTGATTCCTTGAGGAATTCCAGTCCTAATAACCACTGGGAAGCATTTCTTGCTCCATTTATTTTACTTTTTCTACAGCAAGTTACAGTGGATCAGTATATGTGATTTGGGAGAAATGAAGTAACAGCTGCCCAAACTGAGCTTGAGCACTCCTGAATTTTGAGGGTGTTCAAAACTGGAAGGCAGGTGCTAGATTCCCTTTCTGAATATTAGCTAAATCTGGAAAAGAAAAGTCAATTTCTGCTTCCCTGGCTCAGAAGTGTAAATCCTCCTACGTGCCTGGTACTGTATTTAAAGCTGCCCAGGTCCTAGTAGAGCCTCCCCTCCCTTATTTTTCATTTTAAATTCTAGTGGGATCCATGTACCTCCCTTGCTAAGCTTCAGATAGAGAGGTGCACTGTCCATTTAGTCCATCCAATTCTTTCTTTAGGGGAGAGCCCAGGACTGGGGTGGCAGGAGGTGCAGGTGGGGGCCAGAGCTGGGGTGGCAAGGGGTGCGGATGTGGGGGGGGGGAGAGAAGAGCCCAGGGCTGGGGTGGCAGGAGATGCGGGTGGGGGGAGAGCCCAGGTGGGGGCCAGAGCGGGGGCAGCAGGCGGTGTGGGCAGGGGAGAGTCCAGGGCTAGAGCAACACGGGTGTGCGGGGGGAGCCCAGGGCTGGGCTGGGGGCAGCAAAAAACCTAGAGCTGGCTTTGTCCCTACCATTCACAGCAAGCTGCAGCATGAGGTTTCAGTTCCACACTCCTTCCCCTCCCTTTCCTGTTAATTGCGGCCAAGGGAATGCTGGGAAATGTAGTTCTTTCCCTGCTCCAGGGCTGGCTCTATAGGCAGGGAGCTAACCAAGGAACTACAGCTCCCAGGGCCCCCTGTTGGTTCTCAGCTCCCATGCTAGATTCTTGCTCCCCTGCAAATTTGCCGCCCCAAGCAACTGCTTGCTTTGCTGGTGCCTAGAGGCGGCCCTGAATGCTCAATACTACAGTGACGCGGGCTGTGTAATTCCTTGGACAGATAGGCCAGGAAGAAATTGACAAATATTCTACAGTGTGTGTACCTAGATTAATGCTATTTGAGAGGTTTATATGTCTCTCTCTCTCTCCCCTCCCCTCCCCCTTAAGTAAAGGATGAATTTAGGATGAACAAATGCATTAAAATATGGTCGCTTTTTCATTGTGAACACACAAGCCAAACCTGGTCTCACTTATCTTCCTCGAAATGGCCAAAGGCAGCTTTAAAGTGGACTTCAGATGTGAGATCCATTAAGAGTTCAGCACCCCTGCCCCCAGTCCTCCAGTTTTTAATTACTTCTTCCCAACAGCTTCCACCTTTAATATTGGACTAATGGGTTTATTGGAGTTAAAACTGGCCTCTGTGGGATCAGCCTCATGAATCCCCTAGGGGAGGGAGTGCCTTGTATCTTTCAGTAGCTACAACATGGTCAGTGAAGGAGCTTTGTTGAGAAGCTCCAAAGGAATTCCTGTTTGACGGTCTTCAGAAAGGAGGTGTGGTTGCTTTGAAATGGGACCTTCACAGGGTGGATACAGTGTGGAAGTAGCTGGGCATTCTCAGAGTCCAGTGGTGGATACAGAGAAACATCTGCCTCTCTATTACTGAACATTTAAAGGGATTCTGTCAACTTAAACCAGGTCTGGTAAACACATTTCTTTCCCTATGTTCCTAATCATACCCTAGGTACTAAATGTGAAAGATCCTTTAAAATCTAGTGTACCTGTCTTTGCTGATGCTCTCTCTTTGCCTGTTGCATATCCCTTGGCTTGGCACTGAATATCAAAGAAGCCAGTTTCACTTTCAGGATTTGGTGCAGCAATGATTGGATTGCAATGTTTGTATTGATTTAAACACAATGGTTTTAATTAGAATTTAAAAGCATTGAAGAGACATTTATATTGATCCTAAGCATTAGTTTTATAAAGTTTTGCTTTCACAAAATGTGTATTTTGCTCAATTGAAGAAGGCAACATCCCCTTGGAATACAAAGTTCTTCCCCCTTTATTCCAGCCCCCTACTTGAATAAATGTAATAAAAATATACTTCACCAGCTTTATGAACAACAGCGTATAACATTTTCTTGAACCAGAAAACAAACATTCATGTGAATGGCTGCTGACAGTTTACTCATCCCATGTATGTAAGAAAGAGGAATTAAAAGACCTCAGTAGGGGGTTGATCCTGCACCATTCAGGTCAATGGGAGTTTTCCATTCATTTGAGTAGGATCAATTTCTAAGGATGGGTTAATTCCCTAAATGTAATATATTCGCTCACCTCCCCCACCACTCCATTTTGTTAGCGGTGTCAAGGCTTTGGCTTAGGTGTTGTGTCAATGCTTGCATTTAGCCTGCAAGCTTTCCAATATGGTGCTCAAGAAGCAATACCTTAGGTGCTTTATCACAGAAAAAATAGACTGGATAAGTTCCTCCAAAACTTTTACAAGTTTATCATCTCAGCAAGGGCTATAATACTGTCCCCCATCTACAGTGCAACTCCAGTTGCACAAAGAGATTGAGAGCACTATATGGCTTCAAATGTTCATTACTGTATATATCATATCAAGGGCCATTTTTGTATTCATTTGGGGGAGTATATTCAAATATTATATATCTGTGTACCTTTGATTTATTTTCTGCCACAACATTTTCTAAACTTTTGTAATTTTAAAGTGGTTACCTTTTTCTGTGAAGTGGGAAAATGTAGGTGATCTTATTTAAAATGTGTTTGTTTCCCAGCACTTGCTTCAGAAAATATGCTCTGATTAGTTCAGGTTATTTAGAGATTTCAGCAAAAAATTACAGGAATGTTTACGTATTTAATACATCAGTCCTGGCTGCTGAGCAGTTAGGAAAGATTTGAATATCAGGGATGGGTTTATGAGGGACAAAAAAGACTCAGGATATTGTGTCCAGTCTATTTTTGTTACCATTATGTACATAATATTGTTTTTATGGTTTCTTTGGAGGTAGATAGTAGCAGGAAAAATATACACAGCTGTAGCCCCACTTTCAGACCCTCCCATCAAAGTAATCATAGTTCAAGCCACCGACTATACTACTCCTTTCACATCAACTGTCCCTAGCTCTGTATTTTTCTGTCTCAATCCTCACCCAACAGAGAAAAAAACCCTTTAAGGTTGAGGTTATCAGTCACAAACTCCCAGGCAGGTGTCAATCAAGTACAAACACACACCAAGGTGGCATCAATCTGATGTTGCCTGGCTTCTCAGAAGGGGCACTTTATTTTAATTTAATATACGTGAAAGGAACTTCTGCCTTTGAGACCGTGTGCTAAGAATTATGTAAGTTCCCCATAAATCTTAGGTCCTGAGTTTTTAAAGGTGACCCCTGCTTTTAAGGTCCTTTTTTCTTTTCTATGATGTTTAATGAAGGTCTAAAAATGTTATTTATTCATTCCTAAAAAACCTGTCACTGGGAGGGAGAGTTTCCCTACTTGCTTTTTTCCATTAAAAATGTAGGTCCTCTCTAGCATGGAAGACCCTATGATGACATTTTGTGAGCCCAGAGACTGAGCGACACGTGCAACTCACTATGCAGCTTGAAATGGGTGCAGGGCTGTGCCTGCACATAATTAATTGCAGGATCTGGGCCTGAGAGGAGGGGAGATTTGAATCAAGGTGTTGGCCATGTCTACATGCAAAAGTTGTACTGTTTTAACCATACTGGTATAATTAAAGTGGTACAATGCGCCTGAAGTGGATGCAGTTATACCTGTATATCTTATTCCTATATGGGCAGGGGGGGAAATATATACCTGTAAAAGGCATCTTTATAATGGTATAACTGAGTCTACACAAGGGATTGTCTCGGTATAACTACACTGGTAAAAAAAACAAAAAACCACATCCCTAGCCAATATGGTACAAAAGCGGAGTGTAGACCTTGACTCTTAAAGTTTGAACACCCTCTAACTTCAGTGACTTCAATAACATTTCTAGGGAAAGAAAGCATTTGCTAAAGATTCAGTACTCTCCTTCAGTTATGGTGGGAGATCTAACAATATAGACCTGCTGCATCCCCCAACAAGACCAGGTGAATCAGACCTATCATTCTGAATACTGGTAAGGTAAGAAAACAGTTAGAAAGTAGAAGAAGAAAAGCTTTCCTCCCCTCTTTGTACAGTTGTCAAGAATCACAAATGGT